GTCTCGAACCTGCAGGCTCAGGCAATCCACTCACCTTGGCCTCCCAAAGTGCTGGGATGATAGGCTGAGCCACCGAGCCCGGCCTACAGCACCTTACTAAGCATATTTTATGTACCAGGAACATGCTAGGGCTAAGAAATCAGGATGAAACTGAGTGTGGTGGCTCACACTGGTAATACTAGCACATTGGGAGGCGGAGGCAAGAAGATTGCCTGAGTCCAGGGGATTGAGAACAGCCTGGGTAACTTGGCGAGACCTAGTCTCTACAATAAATCAAAAAATTAGTCAGGTATGGTGGTGTGCCTGTGGTTTCAGCTACTTGGAAGGCTGAGGAGGAAAGATCACCTAAGCCCAGCAGGTCGAGGCTGTGGTGGCCGTGAGTATGTACTGCAGCCTGGGAGACAGAGTGAGTCTCCGACCAGAAGCTGCTCCCCAAAGTTCCAGAACCCTCCAAACCAGAAGCTGTTCCCCAAAGTTCCAGGGACTCAGTCTGATTTCCTTCTCTTTTACACTGCCCCCACGTGCTCCATCCTTGGAAGTTTTGTTTCCCCAAGACGTGCTATGGACTGTAAAGAGATTTCCTTAGCCACCACTTCCTTGACATCAACAAAGGGTAGCAAAAGATCCATTTTCACTTTAATGATAACTGTAATGGGGAAACACCTAACTCTCTTGCTGGAATGGTAACCGAACCTTCCTTAGGTATTTATGCTCTCAGCCTTCATCCCTGGGAGTTTATCCTAAATACTTCCCATGGCTTCTGCACAGAGCTGAAGATAATTCATATTTCTGATGACCCCCAGTCTAGCTGACACCTATTCCAACAAACTCTTACCTTACAAGAACTCTGCGTTAATCAACCAAACCATTCTGTCATCAAGATCTCACTCAACCTTGAATCTCACACATTCCTCCCACTGTATTTGTCTAGCCAGTTCCCATCTCTGGATCAATCTTATGATCCACCTGTTCTTTTACTCAGTCTGCTGAGCACTGCTGGAGAAACACACAGTCTCGCAAAATAGTACCAGGATAAATTCATCACCCTTAACATTTTCTAGACTTTCACTGCAATGTGATGATCCTTGTCAGTGTGCCTAATAAATGTCAGCAAAATGCCCTTGTTGTAAAGGCATTTCACAGAGAAGGCCAGGTCTGTGGGCCTGGAGAACTGAATAGGAACTGGCTCGGGTTGAGGTGGTACATACGTAGGCAGATGTAATGGGAGATCAGAGATGCTGGTTTTGAATTACATGAGACATGGAGGTGATCTCTGCCGGCAGATAACTAGAGACACAAGTCAGGACTTCAGGAGAGAAATTCTGGATGATGGTGAGTCTTCAGTAGCCAATAGCATAAGAGGGGCTGATTGCCAAAGGAGGACATGCAGAATAAGAAAGCCACGCCTGGAAGCCTAGTACTTTGGGAAGCTGGGAAAAGAGGATTGCTCAAGGCCAGAAGTTTGGAATGAGCCTGACAATATAAAGACACCTTATCTCTACAAAAAAAAAAAATCAGCCAGGTGTAGTGGTGTGTGCCTGTAGTCCCAGCTAACTCAGGAGGCTGAGGTGGAAGGATCGCCTGAGCCCAGGAGGTTGAGGCTGCAGTGAATGGCATGATTGTGCCACTGCACTCCAGACTGGGTGAGAGTGAGTCCCTGACTCAAAAAACAAAATAAAGTAAAATAAAAAGGAGCAGAATCCAAGGCACTACTGGTTAAGTGGTACATTTATTTCTGGCATTACTATTACATTATGAACTCAACTTAGAAAACAATGACTTCTTTCCCCCAATAATAACTTACTGAACTACCATGTTAGGAACTATTACATGTATTTAAAAAAAAAAAAAAAAAAAGGAAAATGAAAAATGGAGTACTTTCTCTTGGGCTTACAATTTAATGATGTGAGCCTATCCTAACTTGTAAGATAAACGTTTTCAAGTACTTGAGTTCTTACTATGTATTTGTCACTTTTCAAAGCAATGGAGTAAAAAACAGTAAATAAATAATGACAGGATTTTCATTCTCATGAAGCTAAAATAGCAAAATAATTTAAAGCAGTATAATGAGAAAAGAGTATAATGTGATAGTTTCTACTAAGAAGGAGGTAATAACATTAGAGAGGTGGTAAGAAAAGGCTTTTCTGAAATATTCAAGGTAAGACTGAATGATAAGGAACAATCAGTCACTTTAAAATCTGAGAAGTTGCACGTGGTGGCTCATGCCTGTAATCCCAGCACTTTGGGAGGCCTAGGTGGGAGGATTACTTTAGTTCAGTAGTTTGAGATCAGTCTAGGCAATATAGCAAGACTCTGTCTCTGCAAACACTTAAAATTTAGCTGGGTCTGGTGGTGCATGCCTGTAGTCTCAGCTACTTGAAAGGCTGAGGCGGAAGGATCACCTAAGCCCAGGAGGTCAAGGCTGTGCTGAGCTCTAAGTGTGCCACTGTACTCCAGTCTGGGTGACAAAATGAGACCCCAACTTTCACACACACATCTGGGAGTAATGAAAACGACTCTAAGGTCAGTATCAGCTTTGCTTATTCAGGGTAGAAATAGGCAATGTTTTATAAACACACACACACACCTCCAAGTAGTCAGTATTTATAAATGTTAGTAGAAGCTCAAAGCTTTAAAATATTATTTATACATAATTAAGAAAAAGTAAGTAAAATAATGGCTGGGTGCAGTGGCTCAAGCCTATAATCCCAGCACTTTGGGAGGCCAAGGCGAGAGGATTGCTTAAACCTGGGGATTCGAGACCAGCCTGGGCAATCTGGCGAGACCTCATCTCTACAATAAATCAAAAAATTAGCCAGGCTTGGAGGCACGTGCCTGTTGTCCCAGTTACTTGGGAGGCTGAGGCGCAAGGATCGCCTGAGCCCAGCAGGTCGAGACTGCGGTGGCTGTGAGCATGCTACTGCACTCCAGCCTGGGTGGCAGAGTGAGATTCTGACTGAAGAAAAAAAAAAGTAAGTAAAATAAAAAATGTAAGATAAGTGGGAATATAGTATGTTTTAAAATATCCCTCATATTAACTAATATTTTATGTGCTAATGCTAGGATATTAATTGATCCACAGTAGTTTTGTGTTTATCAAAGTTTTGCATGTGGGTTACATATAAAAAAGCACTGTAGCTGGGCGTGGTGGCTCAGCCTGTAGTCCCGCACCTTGGGAGGCTGAGGTGAGTGGACTGCCTGAGCCCGCGGGTTTGAGACCCGCCTGGGCAACTTGGCGAGACCTCATCTCTACAATAAATCAAAAAAATTAGCCGGGTATGGTCGCACACGCCTGTAGTTCCAGCTACTTGGAAGGCTGAGGTGGAAGGATCGTTGGAGCCCAGCAGGTCGAGGCTGTGGTGGCTGCGAGCAGCCACTGCACTCCAGTCTGGGCGACAGAGTGAGACTCCGACTCAAAAAAAAAAAAAAAAAAGCATTATAATATTCTACTATTTTTTATGTTTAGTATGTCGCATCTATAGTTATAAACTGGTCATCAGCTCTGTGAACTAAACCAAACCCCCCACCTTTCTGCCTTGGGGCTTTTGTGTATTCCATCCCTTTCTCTGGGATGTTGAGGTCTCAGTAACATTTCACTTTATTTTTATTTTGTTGAGTTGAAGTCTCACTCTGTCACCCAGACTGGAGGGCAGTGGCTGCTCTCGGCCACCGCAGCCTCGACCTGCTGGGCTCTGGCAATCCTTCCGCTCAGCCTTCCAAGTAGCTGGAACTACAGGTGCGCATTACCACGCCCAGCTAATTTTTTTTTTTTATTTATTGTAGAGATGAGGTCTTGCCAAGTTGCCCAGGTGGGTCTTGAACCCGCAGGCTCAGGCAATCCAATTACCTCAGCCTCCCAAAGGCGTGGGATTACAGGCTGAGCCACCGAGTCCGGCTCAACATTTCACTTTCTCAGAGATGTCTTTTCTGAACCCTTCTTCAGTTTAAATCAAGGTAACATCTTCATCTTCAGATCAAACCCTTCTTTTTTTTTGAGTCTTACTGTCACCTAGGCTGGAGTACAGTGGCATGCTCCTGGCCACCACAACCTCAACCTGCTGAACTCAGGCGATCCTTCTGCTTCAGCCTTCCAAGTAGCTGGAACTACAGGTGTGTGCCACCACACCCAGTTAATTTTTTGATTTATTGTAGAGACGAGGTCTCGCCATGTTACCCAGGCTGGTCTCAAACCCATGGGGTCAGGCTGTCCTCTTGCCTCAGTCTCCCAAAGTGCTGGGATTACAGGTATGAGCCACTGTGCCAGGCCCTTTTTAAAAAAGTTATTCCATATGGAAAAATTATTTATTTTCCCTTGTAAATACACACTACAAGTTGTAAGTACACTTTTCCATTAATTTCTGTCTTCCCTATAATAAACCTATGATACAAGCGATTATACCTAGTTTCACTATCAGATTCCCAGAGCCTAGCAGTAGCTTATACATGGCAGATACTCAATAAGTGTTAGAAAAAGGTTAAAGATGGCCAAAGATTTTAATTGCTTAATATTGATGAACATATCTAAAAGAAACTGCTTAGGGACAAGCCACAGGGTTAAATTCAATACAAGAATATACTTTGTG